GAAAAAAAAAACGAACTATATTAAAGAGTGCGAACGCTTGACGATGGTCTAGATTCAAACAAATCTTTTCTTTTGACATCAATCTTCCATATGCATGTAATTTCGCCAGATACATATTTCACTGACCGAATGCATGCAAGATTTTCTTTTGACATCAATTTTACATATGCATGCAAGATTTAAATAATTTGTTCATGATAGAAAATTGAATTGAATACAACATATACATATTTCCTCTAAGAAATTATACACGACTAAAAATAAATACATGGCTATAAGCTTTCTATCCTGAACAAATTATAATATCTTTAAAAGAAAATATTTTTTCAAAAAAAGATCGACATTAAAGATCGACACAACATAATTACAACGAAAAATCTAAGCAAATTTTTTTTTAAAAAATTAGAAAATAATATCTTTTGTCAATATTTTCTTTGGGTATATTTGTTGGATATCTTCAGTAGATACCTTACGATCTGATACTCTAAATCTCACTGGACCGTTATTTGTTCTTTTTTGCAGTCATAATATATTCTATATAAGTCCACATAAGTTTCTCGGTGTTACACTCACCAATTCACCATCATAAAAATCTACAAAAGTTCTTATTCTTCTTTTTTTTTCATATGCTCTAATGGTTAATTTTTTAGAAGCTAATATTACAGATTTAAAGAACACCACAAATACATGGCATATTCATGTAAAGGTATTTCATAATCTATCTAATTTATTCTACCTTTTTTCATGTAACGTTTACTATATTTTATATTTTATGTAAAATGGATAAAAAACCATATTTACATAGTTAACTAACTTTACCTAAATATTAAGGTACTACGTGCATGGAACCAAGATTCAACAACTGCTGGAAAAATTACAGATTTTATTTTATCTGATGAACATGTAAATATATTCAAATGTTTTTTCAACAATTAATTTATATCTTAAAAAATAGTTGACTATTTTGTTTTTTTTACAGGGTTCCAAAATTCAGGTTTTTATAGACCAGAATTTGATAGACTATTACATTCCAAAAATCAAAGAAAACAAATGGTATGAAATCATTAATTTCATTGTTTTACACCAATAAAATGGTAGTGGAAAAGCTACAAATCACCTTTACAAACTCGTGTTTGATCATTCAACTGAAATTGTAACGACTGAATCAAAAACTACTAATGAGTATTTTGAGTTTGTATTTTTCCAAGGGATTCATACAGGATACTATAAAACTAATTTTTTCATGGGTAAGTTACAAATACTCATGTTTACCATTTTATTATAGTATAATATATTAGTTTATATTTTCTTTGATCATCGAACCATTATATGTATTNACTTCANGATTTATGATCTGATAGATTTGACTGNNAAAGTTACAAAAGTTGTACAACTTAAAAGTGGCCAATCTATGGAAGCATCTCCAAAATAATCAAAAGCAAATGAAGCAAATACTGATTATCCCATGCTCTACTTTGACCTCAATGATCAAAACTAATATATGTATTTGTTTATAATTCTTTTTTTTTAAACATTGATATTTGATAATATTATCTAACTATAACAAAATATGTTTGTACATATTTATAGTATGTACACATAAGATGTGAGCTGGAAGGTTCAATTGCTATTGATTTCCTCAATGATTATAAAAATTGTGAAGATGGCATTGTAATATGTGTGATTAGATGGGGTCAAATTATAATTTATGGAGGTAAACTTGGATATTGTAGGGTGTAAATGGTAACCGCTGAATTCTCCCAAAAGTATCTATGTTTCAAAATTCTCCCAAAAGTATCTATGTTTAAGAGAATAACGTATGACTTATATACAATCTTTGTATGCTGACAAATCCAAAAAATATTTGCAATCTTTTTAATTATTCTCATTTCAAGGCAACCATATATACTCCGATTGGTTTTATCATCATAAATTTAAATAAATTATTGTTTATTTTTAATTTGATTCTCACAATCTAAATAAACTACGACGATATTTAAAATATTATTTCTATGTATATTAATTTTTTACATGCATATAAGGTTTAAAACTAACAATCATTCATATTTACTTTATGCACAATAAATCGTATTATTAAATAATAAAATTAATATATTTTTCTAGAACGTTTCATATGCGGGTCAATCATCTAGTTGAATTTGTAATTAATCACTTTTTAATCATTGTGATGCAATGACTAAAGCTTTTTTAAAACAAGAACGACCAATTATAGGCACATAGTAATCCTAAATAACGAATAAAATTAGTCCTCTATCTCCCCTTAAAGAAGCCAAAGATTCCAGATACACGCATTTCCGTTTCCCTTCTCGGATTTCCACATTTTGAAGTTTCTAGTTTGACAATTACTCAAGGGTAAAGGATACGATGTGATACTATTAAAAATGGTAACATATAGACTAGTAGTTTTAATCAGTAAAAATGGACTTTGATCATAGTATTGAAAAATGGACTTTTAAGTTTAATCTTAGGTACTCGGCCTTCGGTTTGGTTTCTTGATTTGGTGAAGACGGCCGGGTTCTCTCTCGGGGTTGATAGACCAGCTCGAACTCCGGAGACAACTTCCGCAATTCGGTTAAGACACTCAACTCTGATCGGATGCTTGGCCAATCCTCTGGGTTTGCGATCATCTGTGTAAGCTCTTGGGAGTCTGTGACGAATAAAGTGCATAATCTCTTTTTCCGTAACAGACTCGACATCCCCCATATTAGGCTCATACTCGGTATAGAGGGGAGAGATAGTCTGCTTGTCGCCATGTAAACCAAGCAGGTCCGTCGTGCCATTCGGTAGCTGAAGTACCCAGCCCGCGCCACATGTGTGACTGCCCCACACCTTACATATGTATGGCAATTTAATTTGATTCATCAAGCAAAATTTTTTATGTACCTATAAGCTCACAATATGAATACTAAGCTAAAACATATGCTAAGACGATCTATAGTC